TATATATATATATATCTTTATTTATTTATTTATGACGTATGCTTTATCACTAGCCTATCCTTTTGATGTATGATTTTGTCAATGAATATTTTCTAAACATAATGTTGAATTAACATTCTGAGCACTTTTATAAGCAATTTTTAATGCAATTTCTTTACTTTGTTCGCTTCCACAAATATAATAGTTTACTGAATTATATCCTCGAAGTTGATTCTTGAAGTAAAGTGTAAATGTTAAGAGCAATAAAGTAAACAGCAATAAAGGTTAGATAATGCATAATATATAAAACTGAGACTATTCAATTCTTCCAGAGACTTTTTTTAAAGCAAAATCAAAGAGAAAAACAGGACTTTCTCTGGTGGAGCAGAAGTATACTTTGAAGCCATTAGTTTTAAACAGAATTTGCAAATTCCTTCATTACTTTGTTATATATTTTCTATGCAATGGTTTAATTTTCAGCGTCAGAATCAAGCGTAACTGATATGCATACCAAACGTTTTCAATTTGATTGCAGGTACAGAATATGTTAGAATTAGCATCAAATAATTTAAAATAATCAAAATTAAGGGAAAAAGTATTAAAGAAATAAAATAGAATACAGCATGCAAGAAAGAAATGCAAATATGCAAATGGAAAAAGTTTTCTACATAAACAAGTGACATTGCTTCGAACTGATATCACAAAACTGATAACTCCCAATGAGTAACACCTATTCCTTCTTCTTATCAAACACTGTAAAATTAACTATTTGGAAGTTGTGAAGTGACTTTTACTTTTTTATTCAACAAAGTTGAATTTTATTTTTTACTTTTTCAAAGCGGAAATTGATTACATCCATTAAAACTGCACTACGCCTTTGAAATTTATCTTAGTGCAATTAACCATTTTTGTGCATTAAAACTACTAAGATGTTGAAAAAGTTATCTTCTTAGAATTATATAAGCTTATTTTACTTCTATAACTTTCGTATTTATCAAACTTTGTAATTAAATAATTGAAAAGTTTGAATGCAGTAATTTATCGCTTCATAACTATGTTGTAAAGACAATTTATGAAATATGCATGATTAGTTCTTAAAATGCAGATATTAGCACAAAGTGATATCTAATGACTTTAAGTTTAGATTTTTGTTTATCGATCAGATGTTGCAAAGGCCAGTTAATTTAAATTTATCACATGTTGAAACAAATGTTCCGGTGGAAAGTTTACATTCTGCAACGCATTTGTATGCAAGGTTGTAAATATTTGGCAAAACTTAATTTTTGGAAGCATCATTACTTGAATATGTACTGACTGAGATATCAAAATTAAAAAATCTTGATAAAAAATTATCGTAATCAAAATGTAGCTTTCTAGTTTGAATAGTCAATCAGTGTTGTTTCAAGCAAAATGTGCCAGATGTAATTTTCACTTCTATGAAGGCGAAGAGTTTATAAATGCAGAAAACAATACCTGGCATTTTGACTGCTTCAGGTTTTTTATAAACTGTTGTATTTATTTTCTTGAAAAAAGTGTCAGAAATAAATTTTTATGACACTTTTTTAAACAATTTTATGACGTGGTAAAATGAGATTCATTAAAAAGTTAATAAAAAATAAGAAAGTTGACTGAAAATGATAGATTTATTTTTCGGGCATTTCATTAGTGCTTTTTTTCATTGTCATTAAACAAAGCATATATTTAGTAATTTAATACCGAAAAATAAAATTTTTAAAAATTATCCCACTGAAAATCATTATTAATCAATAGTAATTTGTATTTTAGATGTGCTCAGTGCTTTTGTCTTTTACACAATGAAAACCATTATTGCATCGATGGACGAAACTACTGCGAAATGGATTTCAAAACTCTTTTTGCTCCGTCCTGTACCAACTGTGGTATCATATTAATAAATCAAAATACCAAATTACAGCATTCAGTTTGAAACTAAAGCATATCGATGATAAATATTTAAAAAACTTACTGACGAATTCTGATTTACGCAACTAAATCAAGTTATATGAATCAAATTAGATCTACTTTTGCCATCAATGCAAAAAAAAATACACTTGTCATTGTTTAGACTGTCGTATTCCATTTATTTGACATCAGTATTTTCATCTAAAAAAATCATAAAAACTGATCTACTGTTGTGTTCACTAAATGCACACAATATGCAAGATTAATTTGTTCTAGCAAGGTTCAATTTCTGATGAGTTTATTTAAATTTGCAAAAGCTTCGTTAATTTACTAAAAGTTTATTAATTTTATTAAGTTTTGGCAGTTCTGTCAAAATTGTCAAAATTATGTGAAAATAAATTAAATTAATGAATGACTGCTTTGACAATATTTCATGAGCAGTGCATTTGAATGTCGATTGAAGCACTGAATTTACGACAGTATAAATATTACTATTGTATAATGAAAAGAATGATTACCGGTAAACTCTTGCGTGTAAAATTTTTAATATATTGAAGGAGAATTCGTAATTGGAAAAGTTATTCGTGCAGGTAATAAATATTGGCATGCTAAATGTCTCAAATGCAATCATTGTAGTAAAACAGTAAGCAAAGAAAATGGTTGCTACAAAAACTGCAAGTGAGTTTATTAATTATTTTTATTTAATTCACTTTTTAAAGAGTTCAGATATGAGTTTTGTCATCATTTATAGCAAATAAACAAATATTTGCTTGTTTACTCTAAAAAAGGCTGTTAATGAACTCAAAAATTAACTTACAAAAAGAATCGTTTGCTTTTCAGAATCTTTTGCTATACCTGCAATGAACTTGCAACGGAAAACAAAAAATGGTGCGCAAAGTGTAAGTTTATTACTGCCAAGCTTAAAATCTTATATTATTGTTTAAAGTAACCCTCATTTCTGGAAATAAATTCATATCAAAAAATAATTGCTAATTAATATTGCACACTAAATACATACACATTTATTATAGGTAAAGAAAGTATAGAAGAAGGTGAAGAACTGCAATATCAAGACAATCTTTTCCACGCTTATCATTTCTTCTGTGCAGACTGTTTGTAATTTTTTCAGTTAATATATATTCACACTTGTGCAAATTTAGTTTATTACTTACTATTACCTATAATGATTGTCATGATAAGTTATAATGCTAGTACAGTTGTTAATGCTTGTGATTGCAAAGTGATCCATAGTGATATAACATCAGTCTTTCTTAAATTTATAGCATAACTAATTACAAATTCTTCAAATTTTAGAATAGAATTAGATGACAAAGCCAGGTGTATAAACGATAAATTGTACTGTCAACTTTGTTACAATCAGAAGTGTTCCGTGTGCGCTGCATGCCGTCATCCGATTGATAATGAAAGAAGCGTTTTTGCTTTAGACAAATACTGGCATTTTGATGTAAAACTCATTTTTTGCTAAATTACCAAAATATTTTTTTAGTTTTATTAATTTTCAATACAAAATTATTAGCAATATATTTAATATAAAGCAAAAACTATTGACGAATGCATTTTTTGACTTGCATTAATTGCTACTATTCATTTATAAAAAACATTGTAATTGTTTAAATTCTGTCAACTTTTTTTCAGCATTTCATGTGCGCAAAATGTGAGAAACCTTTTTATGGCAGCAAATATTTTGAAAACCGAAATCGAGCATATTGCAGCAATTGCTATGCAAAGGTTTGAAATCATTCAAGTCTTGTAAATTTTCAAAGCTTCTGAAAATTTTGACTACAAATAATTAGTTTTCTGCATCACAGATTTAAGAAAGAAAAGGACAAAAATAATTTGACCATAACTAGTTAATATTATGATATTTTCTAGACTGCTGTTATCCAGGATTATTTATAACTGATTACTTAAAATTTGTAATTATTTGGCATTACATTTATTGTTAGTATTCTTCATACTAACACTATTATTGATATAATAAGTGATGAAAGTTATTTACTATATCAGTAATATTGAATGCAAAAAAATTTCATATAATCAAGCATTAGCTATATATAGAATTGGAAAATTGTGTAACTTATATAATTATTTTTTTTAATAAAACAATTTTACAACTTTTTGCTAATATTAATATTAATTTTGAGCATTTTGCTGATGTCTGCTTTAAATGTAATGTCATGCTGACAGAGCTCAGTTTGAAAGTGTTTGGCAAATACTGGTGTCAAAACTGTTATGCTTGTTCAACTTGTGACAAAATACTGAATCAGAAGTAAATATTTCTTATTACACCAGATTAAAGCATGATTCCGTAAATCAAAAAATCTTTTTGCAACTATTCAGTTTATAAATTTCTATTTATGATTTTACTTAAATTACAATCCAGCAATACTACTTTCAAATGTTATTGATAATTTGCAGATCAAAAGTGATTGAAATGGATTTACGACCAGTTTGTAAAAAGTGTTTTGATCGTTTTCCAAAAGAAATCAAGCAACGAATGGTTTCTTAAAATGTAATATATTAAGTATTACCAATTCATAAATAATGAGTGCAAGTTCTAACAAGCGAAAGACAATTGAAAATAAAAAAAGGGCAACATTTTCTTGCAAAGGATATGTAATATTTTATAGAGTTATTTTGAAAAAAGGTTACAAGTGTAGAAAAAAAAATATTGAATTATTTAATTATAAATCAAAGAAATTTTATAGCATCAAAATTTGCAATCTCAAAATTGTACTCTAACTTTCAAAGACATTTATAATTAAATTAAATTTAAAATACTAATGACATTTAACATGTTCACTTTTTGTAATCAGAATGCAAACTGATTTAAATTTTAAAGATATAATCAAAGACTGTTGAAAATGAAACACTTTTAACAATGTTGAGTTTTCTTTACGCTTCAGTAATATGCTAAGGAATATGGAATGTAATAATTGTCATTTTTTTCTGGACGTTCCGATACATTGTATCGCCAGTACCATTCCTGTTTCTCTCCTTTCGGAGCATATTTTGGCAAATCTTTAGCCCGATATAGCCGATTTCCACGTAAAAGCATCAAAGAATGCAGTCGTTTTTCCATTATGGGATGATTCTAAAATATATCTCACAACTTCAGTTTATTTGCTTATGAAATTAACATTTTGGTATGAGATCTAAATTGGAGCATAATATGGTCCAAGCAAGACCAGGAATGCATTTTGGCTGTCATATGATTCTACCAAATATGATAACTAAGTTGCTTTTATGTATTGATTGCAAACACCAAATAATTATGACCCCATAAACTGTCCTATTTTTGGAATGTCACAATCTTCAATGCATATTATCCTTTGTTCTTTTAATATATCACATAAAAGTTTCATATTAAAGATAATTGCATTATTTTTTAATAAATACCGGAATTATTTTTAGCAAATATTTATTAGCTTTTCGATGTGTTAATTAGATAAATAAATTTTTTCGCTTGCAAAAATAAATTAATAAAAGTTTATAAGACTAGTTAAATAAAAGGCTGATATTTCATATGAAACATTCATATATTCACAAAATTTATGAATGGTGTATATAGCCATAAAAGTACTGCTTACCTCATTGACAATTGAAGCTGACAGTAACTGAGCATTGAACACAAACAATAGTACCAAAAATATTGGATAATACATGATGAAATTATTCAAAACTGAGTGATCTAAATTTTAATATTTAATCAAGAAGAACTTAAAAAAGTGATCCAATATCTGTGAACACATCTAGAAAATGAAAATAAAAGTCAGCAACTGGTTAAGGAAGTACTTAAATTTTCAGTAATATAATTGTAGAAGAAAGCACTGAAAATTAAAAAACGGAAGGGAATGTATGATTTATAAAACACATTGCAGATTAAATTTGTTCCGTCTTAATTAAACAGAAAAATCATGTTTCACTTAATTGACGCATAAAGCTAGTGATAAAAGGATTAATTTTAACCTTCTATTTCCAAGAAAATTTGTTTGAAAAGTTTTTTGAAATATGCAAACTATATTATTACTCTTTCTTTTTTCTGATTATTCGAAGGATCGTACTTCCATTCTGTTAGAACAACTAATGGATTTTAATTAAAAGTAAAGGCAAGCGTCATTTTTTTAATGAAAGCTATTGAGAAATATTCGTAATGTTAGGCATCATTGCAATTTCTGAACTACAAATAGGTGATCAAAAAAGAGCTAACAAGTTGTATTATAATAACTGCCAATTTTATATTCACGGTGATTAGTTATTAAATAAAATCACTCTAAGCTAGTAATTACAAACCTTATTTACAAAATTTGGATACTATTTATTGCAAGCAATCGTATTTAATTGCATCCTTTATTTCTCATAATTAACTACTTTTTTCAATCTTCTATTAATAGCTAACAAAAGGCATAGTTAATCAAAGGTTATGAAAACGGTGCACAAAAATAATACTTAATTTTCCAGTTCAAAACAAAACTGCATTTGTAAATATTTAATTTATTTACAGAGTTTTGTCATATTAAAGAAAAAAATAAAGCAGAAGTAACAAAATTATGGTAGAGAATCCAAAATGTCGTCGCCTGATTACTTTTTCCTGATGTCAAATGTAAATGTGAGACTCAATAAATTTTTGGATTGTGAAAATACGTGAAAGAATCGAATCACACTTCCATTCTGGAAGTATTTTTGGTAAAAATGAAAATAATGAGACGGAAGTCAATAATGAATAGATAAATAAATAAATAAACAATTAAAAAAATAAATGAATTAATTAATTTAATTAAATAAATAAATAGGTAGTTTTCTAAAGCATTCAGTCTTTTATAAAGAAACTTGCATTCAAATAAATGACTTTAATATTTTATTTACGAAAATTATAAGAAATAGTTTAAATCAAATCGCAAATTTTAATTACAATCTTTGCTTTAAAAGTTCAGGCAAATAAGTAATTATGGCTACGTAATTTTATTTTGAATGCCTTCTTAATCAAAGTGCTTTTTTTTCAAATAAGAAATAACTTTTTTAATGCTTTTAAAAAAAGCAAATGTCCTTATTCATAAATACTACATCACACTGATAACTTAATGGTATGTGAAATATTTTAGAAACAGTGGCATACTTATTTCTACTTTATAATATTTGCAAGGCACAATTCATTTTTTGAGCAACCTCATCGAAGAAAACATTAATTTAAGTATAAAAAATTGAATCATGCGTTTATGCTAAACTTCATGTAGCTTTATTTTTGATAAATAATGTGCTACAATTTTTTTCTTAAATAAAAGCATTTACAGACATGGCTTTATTGAATAAATTACAACAGTTAAAAAGGTTTAGCTTGACGAGAATAATGCATTAAAGTATTTAAAACAATATGAAGACAGTTAGATTTTAAATCTAACATGTGTTTAAGAACTGTTAGAATTAAAGAGAAAATTAAATTTAAAAATTAATTGTACAGCATTTTATATACATTTTATGCTTTTGTATAATATACTTCTGTATCCACGTATGATGTAAAAAAGTACATCCTGCTTAGAAATAATTCTGACATTTTGTGTTATACACGACTTTTTTATGCACACTTTCTTCTTCAATAGATATGAGTTACAACTTGTTTCTTGACAATAAAAAATGTATCACTTTCTGTTGACACTTTTCACATCTTTTAATAGGCTTTTTTACAAATTTTCTCTGCTGGTAAAATTAATTTACGCAAAACTGAGCTACCGCACATGGAAAATATTTTCAATCATGAATGAGATAGAAGGCACTATCCATGGAATTAATACATTTCTTCAATTATCCCAATGCAAACAGAAGTTTTATTTCTTAAATCATTTTACAATTTTAAATGAGTAATTCCCTTAATTCTAAGATTTTTTCATAGTAGTCTCAACTGATAGATGCTACATATCTTATGCACTTTCTTCTAAATTATTTTTGATTGCATTTATCACTCAACAAACTCCTAAACATCCATAAGTTTTATTTCCTACTTTCGGTCGATATTCCTTTTTACTTTGCCTAATTACTTTAAAACTTTGCTTGATTTCATCGAATTAAATTCCTGTATGAGGATATAATGATGAATCTTCTAAGTAATTAAACTTAAGTTTCCTCCTAATACCTTTAAGCCACAAAACTCTCAAAAATTTCCTTTCATACTATGAAAACTCTCAAAGAGGTTGCCATTCCATGTTTTCAAATTTTTTAGGAAATGATCGCACCACGAGAATCTTAACTAGGCAACTTCCCTAGCTGTACATGCAACACATCTTACCTCTCCTCAAATGATATTGAAATTCACACCAATAATTCACGTCATCATCCAAGAAATTATTGAACTACTCACCTCTTACAGCAAATGATCTACTTAGCTATATTTAGTGTTCTGTTTTGCAAATTATTTGAAACGACAAGCCATGAAGATTTTTCAAATTTATCGGAGAAATTAGCTTGAAAACATAGCCCACATCATAGGCATTAATGTAATAAAAAATTATGGAACATCACAAAAGGTTTTGAGATTAACATTTACAGCCATTTTAACGGAAAAAAAGGATAAAGATTTTCTGCAATAGCGTTTGCTAGAGAATCATAAGTTGCTCACCGAGAGAGAATATACAAGTAAAGCACAACCAGCAACAAATTGAAACTTAAACGTCAATAAAAACAGTAAATGAAACCAATGGGTAATTTTCTCAACTCCCGCTTTTATCTCTTAATCAGTGTTATTGAATTGTCTTCGTAGACTTCATAGGAACTAAGTTTGCCCGAAGACATCAATACAAATAAATTGTAAAACTTTTCAACAAAAAGCCACGAAATCTATACCGAAGGGAATGGCCGTGCTGCTTCGAGATAACATTGATCCAAAAATGTGATCTGAAAATAACACTGAAGAAAACATAAAGTAGCGATCAGTTCTGTGAAAATACACAGCTCAAGTTTTGCCTTAGTATATATAATATTAATATAATATAATATTAATAACCACAAAAGCAATTCTGGATTTCTAATTCAATAACCTTATTTGTATTTCGTTTTTGCTGATGAGCATTTACATCCCATTCAAAATGTAAAACTGCTGCGGGAAAAAGGCTTAATTCACTCAGTGTTTTTGTGTAGTCACTGATGATTTTTCCAGAGACTGGATCAATTAAATCAAAAACTATGCTTTCCGAAGCCGACAAATGTTGTTCCACAAAGTTGCGCACTGCACTGAAAGGTTCACAGCATCGAAATGTGCCCTACAAAATGGGTTGTGTAGCACAGATCATAAATTATAATTATTAACGAAAAAATTTCTAAAAATCTAAAAATGCTGAATGACTAATAAGTACTGTCTCTCGCTTTGTTCATTGTTTGAATTGAAACAAAGAATCAAGCTCTGCTAGCTAGAGATAATATTTAGGAAAATTTTATCACTATAATTATGCAGACGATCAGCTTTAAGTTGTCGATTCATCAACAGAATAATATACCAAACTACACATTTTTTTACAATTTCAAGGATTTTCTCCGTCTGAAGCATAGTACGTGTAGTAAAATGTAGAAAATCTTTAAAAATAAACCTGCAGGAGGAAACGGTCAGGAAACCTTATTCTAATCAGGGTGTATTTGTAGCGATTGTTACGTAGTATCTTATCTTTATTCCGCATTTCTTCTGTTCGCAATGTAAGAAGCTAAAAGAAAAATACAATCTGGGTCGTTACATTACTGAGAAATATATCGAAACTATACAGAAAAAATTAAAGCACACTCACTTTTTGATCGCCACCAGTTAACATTTTTGATCTTAAAAGCACTGAATCAGTAAAATTCGACTTACTGATTGAAAAAGTTTTTAAATTCTGGTACAAAAATGCATACCTTTTCTACATCGGCTTCTTTTCGAAGCTGTTCTTTTTTGATTTCAGCAGCATCTAATTCAAAAAATTCATGCGGTAGTTGAGGATTAGTGATAACTTGATTGGGTTCAAGTTTGTAGACCTGTCAAAAGTGCTCTCAATAAAATCTTCAGATCGAAATCTGATTCGAAATCCACCACCAAATATATATGCCAAAACTAGACACATAAGAAAATCTTGTCCATGACATCGCGATACGTAATGCTCCAATACAAAACTTACAATCATATTTCGAGAAAGCTTTATAGGCACAGCTTTACCAGCCTGTAGAAATTCCACAGCCTGAATCAGCAAATGTAGATTCATTACACTCTCATCCGTCATAACAAGAAAGAGTTCCTTCTGCTCATTCACACTGAGCTCCATTTCTTCAAAACCAGAAGCGAGTAAAAATTCTTTTCCACCACACACAGATAACACGCGTTCCTGGAAAAGGAAAAATTAATACGTCCTTATTAAATTCATGCAACTATAGACAGAGAAATTAAATATTACTGGAAGCAAGTTACATCTTTTCAATAAAGCAAACATACTTGAAAAGCTTTATTGTTCAATCGAATTCTGCGATATTTCGCTTCATCAGGACATTCAATAAGATTTTGCAAATATTTCTGGATTGTTGCTGAACAGATCTGTATTTTTTCGTAAGAGTTCAGAGTGAAAATCATTAATGATGATGCAGTCATAGGATCCTGATCCATTCTACTTCGTAGAAATTCTTCTACCTTTCTTAGTACCTGCAATATGTTCTATGAAATACTGCGAACAATACCAGCATATTCTATTATTTTCTGTTTATATAAATCTTGATATGTTATCACACTGAGTTCCATATCTAGAACTTACATCTTTTAAATAAATGAAAACAAATGAGGAAAAACTTTATTTATTAAGCGCATGTTATTGCAGACATACTTCGATAATTTTAGTGATAATATAATGTATTAAGTCTGCACCACTAAAGGATAATGTAATCAAGACTAACTTCACTCTTCGTCAGTTGTGCGTCACCTAGAATATCACAAGTAAAATAAACACCACTGATGGCACTACCATGCTCAAAAGCCTGGTCTTTTTTTACATTAATTTTCGGTTCAGTTGTCACTTCATTTGTTTGTTGATTGCCTTTTTTTTCGGCTTCTAGTTCTTTCAATGCCTGAAACAGAACTTTGCTTAGTCATTAAATTTATAAGAAGTGTTATACACTGAGATCAATTTCTACATGGTTTTTGACGTGTTTAAATTAAAACAGGTCAGGTGATTCATGACTGCGAAAACTTTTGACACATAAGAAAATGCTAAATTAGTGGTTAAAAGAAAAAATTGAAAAACCATTTATTAAAGTTCCAATATACTCTGAACTATTCAGCAAGTTTCTTTACAGTTTCTGTAGCACAGTTTTGTAGTAATTACCATATTATATTTGAAATCAGTTGAAAAACTGATTAATAAAGACTAACCCGTAACCGTATATTTCTTTGCGTCAAAGACTCCTTGGTTGTACCTACATTCATTCTTTTATAAGCTGCCTCAGCTGCGATATCAGATGTCGCCAAACATTTTGCCGATGATAATTCTGGCTGGAAACGAGCATCCCACTAACAAATTATTAAAAGATCTTTTTTCTTCAGGCAAAATTATACACAAAATACGATTACAAAAGTGTTTTTCGATTTTACAACATTAAGTTTAAAAAAAAATGGTACGTTTGGTTGTTTCGGATTTGATGCATGAACTGATGAATCATCCGTAAGCCTATGGCCCACACCAGCTTTCTTGAAGCTTTTTTCAATTTTCTTCTCATTCACGAATTTCTTTAATCGGTCCATTGTATCTCGAACGTTTACCCAGAGATTAAGAAATTGTCTGCAACACTGTTTCGCAGCAAATTTTGCTCAAACTACTAAGTAATCACTATACTACAGTAGCGCAGCCTTAGGTATCAGCTTCCAATATTCTAATTTTATTACATAATATATGTGAAATAATTTCCAATTCTTTTCTGACGAGCAAAGAAGAGCGACCATTCATTTCAGGTTCAGATCAAAGACCAATCCTATGTATCCTTTAGATTTTAGGAATAGAACCAAAAATTATGCACAAAATTAAGATTCCAGATTTGTACATGATGCTCAATGATACAATTAGAGATAGTGGTGAGACATGAATCTAATGCAATTCAATAAATAAAGATTTCTATGACATCTAGTATTATAAAATTTAGAGAATAAATAATGGAAAATTAAGCAAAAATAGCAAAGACATAGAGAAACAAACTAGCAAAGATACAGAGAAATTAGGATTCCAAATTTGTACATGGTACTATTTTGAATACGAATATGAAATTCGAAATTTATCAAGCATATCAATTTACAAATAAAAAATGAATGAACAAACTATGAACAGTGAAAATATTGCATGATTACTGTGTGTCACACTAAAGTTAATTTCCTAAAATGTTATTAAACGTTAAGCCAAATAATACAACAAAATTCTTGTTGTACTCTTTTGCTAATTAAGCAATTAAATGAACAGGACAAAATATGCAAGCTAGAGTGAGTAGTAATCAAGACTAAAAATTTTTTAATTATGCAGGATGTGAGTAGAAACAAAATTAATCAAAAGTGTGCTGTTTTACATGTATGTAAAAGAAACAAGAGGTACAAATGAAAGCATTTCTTTGGAGATGAAATGGAAAATAAGAAATGCATCTTTAAAGCACTGCTCTCAGAACTAAATACGAGTATCAGTTAAGGTTGAAAGATAACTTATACTTAATATTATGCCAAAAATGATGCGCTTAATAAGCAAAGATACAGTTCTGAGAGCAGTGCTTTAAAAGATGCATTTCTTAGGAAATTAGTTATCAACACTAAGAATAACCAAAATAACTACCAAAATAATAATAGAGTTCAAAAAAATTTTAGTAAAGTATTCATAGTAATATGTGGAACAGTCTCGAAATACAGAAATCCTTCATTATTCTACAGCTATGAAGAGGTAATATAATCTTAATCTTGTGATTATAAACGAAAAAAATTAAGGCAATTAAAATGACACCCTCATATCCGACCAATACTCAGCAGAATACACCATCCCCTAGCAATGGATAGATGGCTTAACATGCAAACATACTCAATGCTTCATTAAGTAACATAAAAAACAATAAAACCTACATACCGTTACCTGAAATCGTTGTGAGACTCGGTAATTTACCTGAAGCATTCTATTGAAACGTAAAATGCCAACTCCGCAAAGTGTTTTATAAATTTCCGTTCGGGAATATATCAAGTATATGAGGGAGTACTTGCTGTTGTGTTCATAACATCCTTTATTAACACTGTAGGACCACAAAGTAAGTGTAAATATATTAAGTAAACTTTATAAGCACATATCTATCCATTACGTAACTTTCTTTCATAAAAAATTAACTATGATCCAAAAAACACTTCACGAAAAAGTCTACCACATCAGGCATATTGTTTAATATGTAATCAGAGCACATTCTCCACGGACTGACTGTTTTTTGTCACGTTATTTTAATTTACTGCTATAGTTTGACTGCCATCATTAAACGATATTTCTGTAAGAAAAAACAATAATTACCACAATAATTACAGCCATCTGATCTTTTACTTACAAGAAATGAGTATTTTTGTCTTGAAAATATAATCAAATATTCGTCAATGCTCAGCAAATTTTCAATTCTCTGAATGTCACAAGCAAACAATTATAAGCTGTCTGATGCTTGAATTTATTCATAAAGTGACAGACGGAATAATAAATAGATATGAATTAGCGTATATATCTCTTTTAGCGTATATATCTCTTCATAAAAGAGATATATACGCTAAAATGACTGCCAAAGAAAAGTGAACATAAATCCAGGACTCATGAATGAGCCTGGAAAGTTGCGATGAAAATATTCCGATTATGAAAACTATCCTAGAATCATTCTCTACATTTTGATAACTACAAAAATATTTATGGAAGAAGTATAATGAGGAAATAGATGAATTATTAAACGCTACTACAAACTTTACAACACAAAAGATTACCTGTCATTATTTATAAAATAAATATGACCTCAGGTATTATTAGTTCTTTACAAGGTGAGAATTGTCCGAAAATTTTTGGTTATATTTTCAAGTTTTGGAGTACTTTGAAAATGATGACAAAACTTGGAAACAGTAATTGCATATCTTAACTCAGTACAAAGCTGAATTTTTCCATTTTGAACGATAAAGAAGACTACTTTACGAAGACATATATAAAAAATACGAATCTCAAATAACAAAAAAGTGCAAAACGAAAGAATTCTTCGCATCTATACGCATATTTTAAAATGCCACTGCAAGAAACATTGATTTATAATTTGTTTTTCGCTCACTTACTACAAAGTTACATTTTGGTAATTAATGGTTGTGGATTTTGCTGGAGAAAAAAAAAATTATAACAGAACAAATAAAATAAAATTGAAACCTTTTATAACTTACTAGGATTATCTCTACAGTTCAAAGCGTCTATTTAGCAAATCAGTGAGTGACATTATGCGAATATGTCAGAGATAAAGTGATTAACACGAAAACATAAGGATGTCTACAAAAATAAGAATACTGAAGGAAATGAAATAATAAACACAATAACTAACATGAACACAAATCGTAGGAGAAAACTGGCTAACAAATTGAATTTAAATAAAAAAGACAATTAAATATGTTTGAAACAGGATGATTTTGCTTACAAAGTAGGATATTATGACTTGTAGGTTTGGTACACGCCGCAAATTAGTTCTGAATTGGAGCGAGCACAACTCCCCCTGGTCCAGCAAGAGTTGTTTTACCCATTAAGTCGTAGTCAATCTAAATATCCATCGCTTTTACTGTATAATGAATGAGATATTAAATTCTCTAATTTATCGCTTCAATCAATTTCAAATTTTAAAATCGCAAGTAATATTTAGTATGTGCTGTTGACTCAGCACTGACCATAGCTTAATTTACTAAACAAGAGTATATACAACAAAATTTGAACAAAACTTACTTGTCTTGCTGCTTGTCGTCCTTCATGAATAGCCCAAACTACCAAAGACTGACCTCTTCGACAGTCACCTGCTGCATAAACCTTACTTTTTGATGTGTTATACCGTTCTTCGCCAGTAAGAATATTAGATCGAATACTTGTGTCTAGACCAAGTTGTTCAATGACACTCTGCAATACTTTATTTACTGACTGCAAACTTATAAAATGAAACTATGAAGTCAAGAATTTTATGATATATAGACAGAAATAACTTTGTAAAATCTTTAATTTGCGATAAAGGAGTTTTTTTTTTGAAAAATAAAAATAAAAAACAAAATAGAAGACAAGTAAGTGTACCTTTTCAGGACCGACAAATCCCATGGCAAGTATACATAGGTCACATAACAATTCTCTTTCGCTGTTTTCTATTTCAAACATTTTCCAGTTTCCATTATCATCTTTCTTCCATTCCACTTCAACAGTCAACAAGCCCGTCAAAACTTTTTGCCCTGAGGTACTTTCATTTACCAAAAACTTCTGCAAAAAAATAAAATTTTTTAAAACTCGACTGAAATTTGTAATAGTCTATAACATTTATATTGTCGATTAAAGTAGTTAATTAATGCAGAAACCTTGGTAGATAAGGCAAATAGCCGTGGATCATCACCAGTAATATGCTTACGTTCTTCATGCCCATAATCAGTACGAAATATGATAGGCCACTGTGGCCATGGATTATCTGGATACCGCTCATCCGGAGGTCGAGACATTATTTCTAGCGCTAGCACGCTTTCTGCTCCCTGTTTAGAACAATTTTACATGTTTTATGTTATGGTCTTATCTTTGCTATTCAATCTGTTGCAGATACAATAGATAAACCACTGAGTTAATCAGGAAAGTGATGAATCGTAAATTGGCTTAATTCAAAACGAAGATTAAAAAGTGACAGAAAGTAACTTGTAACAAAAGCAGACCAATCTTGTGCACGTTGCAATGCAGTCTGTTGCAGTGTCACCTCCACCAAGGATTATAACTCGCTTTCCTTTAGCGTCAAGCCCTTCCCAGGAATCTTCTTCGCCTGCCACAATTCGTTGACTTTTTTCCAAAAAATTCATTGCAAAACAGATTCCTTTTGCTTCCCGATTTAAAATTGACAAATCTCTTGGTATCGTAGAACCCGTGCAAACCAATATCGCATCATTGTCCTACACACACGTATTTGATGAAATGATAAAATATTAACTACTAATACATCATTATTTATCCACATTTCTCGTTATTAACAGAAAGAGAATCTTAATTTTCTACAAAAAGCAACTAACCCTAAGTAAGAAGTCAGCGGGCACGTGTTTACCGATTTCAGTATTTGTAATGAATCGAACACCTTCATCCTCCAGCAACTTCACTCTTCTATCGACAATGTACTTATCGAGTTTCATCGTTGGTATGCCATATCTTGAATAACAATACTAGCATCGCAGTAATCTTGTTATATTCTAATTTGTTGTATAAAACTATTAATCCAAAAAACATAAATTAAAACATCGAAAATCATAAGAAAGCATAATTTACGTAATTAATAAAATTATATTGAAGCCAATGATGTGGAAATGATGAGCAGATATCTATTTGCTACACATAAAATCTTCAATCTAAGCTAATAATTAGCAGAAAGATTAAAATTTCAAACCACTCTTGAACACTTTTACCTCAGCAATCCACCTGCATGATTTTTCTTTTCGTACACAACAACCGCATGTCCAACTTTATTTAGTTGAGCTGCGGCTGCCATACCTGAAAGAATACCGATTCATTAATGCCCTTCTATCTGAGCTGAATTTTTTAAAGATTCGATTTTTTAACGTCAAATCAGGACAAATTTTTAAAAATAGCAGGATATTAGACAATGTGTGGAACACTTTGTAGTGAATTTCTAAAAATTTACCCTATAATGCCAAAGTTAAATTCATTATAAATTAAAAACTTTTATAATCAAATAAATTACCAGCTGGGCCACTTCCGATGATTGCAATTCGTTTACCAGTACTGTAATTCGGTTTATGTGGCTCCATCCAGCCTTGTAGAAACGCGTAATCAATAACAGCACATTCAATGCTTTTAATTGTTACAGCTGGCGAATTGATAGCCAAACAACAAGCTGTCTTAATACTTTTTCAATCAATTTTATTTTACCAAAAAGTTGCTGCATTTTCAATATTTTAATTTAGACCCAATATTAATTCTTCTCTCTTATGACAATCAATTTCAAGCAGTTAATAAATGACATTCTTGTTTACAACATGAACAAATAATGTTTAACTCGACTTTTGAAGTGATATTATTAAAAGTTGCAAATTACTTCACAAGGCGCTGGACAAACTCGACCAGTGAACTCTGGAAAATTATTTGTTTGCAGAAGTTGCTCTAGTGCTTGGCGCCAATTCTGTTTGAAAACATAATCGTTCCATTTTGGAATAATATTTCCAAGAGGGCAACCAGTGTTTCCTTGACAGAATGGTACACCACAATCCATACATCTAAATTAAAATTCATTTTCACAAAACCAAGCTAAAGCTTAGTGTAATCATATTTAAATTGGATTCAATGAAATAAATACCTTGCTGCTTGTTCACGAATGTTTGACCTAACGGCCCGGTAATCTGTAATTTCCTTCCAGCTTTTAATTCGTTCTTCAACAGGTCGATAAACCACTTTTTGACGGCGGTATTTCATAAAACCTCTACAAAAATATGACACTTAATTAGAGCTTCAAAAGTATGATCCCCCATAAAATACTGATAATAATTTCATTTTATCTGAATCTGTTATTCAATTTACCTGGTAAATAAATATATTATTACATTAATAATGAATAGTTTACAGAAAAACAACCTCAGTTTATCGAGTGATTTATCATTGTCTTTTGAACCATTCAAACCAGGAATATTTTCAATATCAACGACAGATAAATCATTAGTATCTTCAATTTCTGATTCACCGGCATCGGAAGGTTCATCATCATCTTCCTCTTCTTCCACGACTTCTTGGGAATCCTTCGCTTCTTCAAAACCTGTGTAATCTTCGATACGAACATTTTTTAAATACTTCTTGCCAGAATCAGCTAGAACCTATAACAATATTACAAACGATTTTAGTATTATGTCAGCAGCTTCTTAACTAACTTAAAAAAATAAACTATGCAGTTATGCAACTTTTGTAGACGAAAAGCAAAAAATGAATTAGCTAATACCATGTGGATTAGGCTTTTAAATCCTACATCAGCTAAATTGATAATTGATATTTGGCATTGTTACCTGTTTATCTCCTTCGGATCCAGGAGCCTAAAACAGTTTTAACTTCTACAGTTTCTTACAAAATCAAATAATGATCTTACTACGAAAGATTAAAAAATGAATTACAACGTGAATTTAATAAGTTTACAGAGCGACATAAAGTTTAAGAAGTTTATTTAAAAATGAAGTACTAAAACACGCCATTTACAAAATCTGTGATTTCGTAAAATAATTTTTGTTACAAATATACGCTAAATAACAAACCATTTTCCTTCGTACAGGTCCAATAGCGATTTGCATATCCATTGAGAATTTACGCTGTCTTGGAGGTATCCTTCGTGATAGCATATACTCATCAGTTAATTTCTAGCAACAAACTTTTTAATTAAATACATACATATTTAATAAATTGATTTGTGGTCTTATAATATACTCATTTAGTAGAAGAAATTTTTATCTTTACAGCCATATAGGAAAAGACTGACTATAAATTAATGCCTGAACTTAAGTTAACCTCATTTTTCTTCAAAGATTCCTTCTCTTCTGCTATTTTCAAAGTTTCTTTCATACGTTCTATAGCTCGTTTGTAATCTTTTGGGAAAATCTGAAAGAAAGCTTCCACAAGTCGTGAAGCTAACAAATATTGCCTGATCAAAGTGCATTATCATTCCCTCAATATACTCAAGGTTTTGTTATTTGTATGATGATCTACTGTTGAACATGAGTTCAGATACAAGTTAAAAATATTAATGCATGCAATCTTTAAAATTATTGAGACCGAGCAGAGAAAATTACAGAACGTAAATTAACGAAAAATAAGCTTAATGGAAATAAATTACAGGCCAAATGCTAACTTTTATGAACTTCTTATATTCATTGTCCCAGTTTTCAAGAATTGCATTACCAATTTTAGAACCAGTTTCTTGCACAAATACATCAGTCATTTCCTTAATCCAGGCCAGATCTTCGTTGTCCGGCTCTTCCAAATCAATTGTTGCCGTATTAATGTAACGAGTCCATTGACGTTTACTAAAATTCATTAATACTGATTGAGATATACTATCACAGATCATTCTGCTCAATCGGTCTTTACTTTTATTAGCAATTTCACAGATCCATCTAAGCCATCGTATTACTTACTGATTCGGCAATCATTAAATAATTTATGATTTTTAATTAAGGAACTTTAAAAATCAGCTTTAAAATGATAATAGTATTTGAAGTGAATATATATAATATACCCATCATGAATGAATGCCAGACCGCCAGACATAGCAGCAGCAAAATTCCGCCCAATACTGTGTAAAATAATTACTTTCCCTCCTGTCATATATTCGCAGCCATGATCGCCAACGCCTTCAATTACAGCAATCGCACCTGAATTGCGAACTGCAAATCGCTCTCCAGCAATTCCACGGAACAATACAAGCCCTGAAAGCGGTGTCTATAACAAGAATATAATTTAAAAATCAGAAACTTAAATTACATAAAATATTTATGAAATTTTAGCAAACTGATATCATTTTCAATTATGTTTCAATCTTTTACAAAAAAGATGCGATATTTACCAGAGGTAGCACCATATAATGCCGCATTGCCAATAATTGAATTTTTTTCAGAAAGGAATGTGACGTTGCGATTAGGATAAATGACAATTTTGCCGCCTGACAAACCCTGTAATTAAATATTGGTTTTATAAATTTTTTACTGCTTGCCCAGTAATTTACAAAATTACAAAATGATAACAAACAAAACTTGTTTTGTATTTTCGTTTTTTCCGATACTTGAGTTAAATGAAAAGTATTCGATTAAAAATATCATCACAAAGGTTAAATGTGAAGGATTTTTGATAAAGCTTGTGAAAACGGTATGATTTTTATCAATATTCGGATATTAACCTTGCCAACGTAATCATTAGCGTCTCCTTCCAAATAGAGTGACACGCCTTTAACCAAAAACGCACCAAAACTTTGTCCAGCATGTCCTACGAGATTAATACGAATAGAACGATCATTGGAGAAACCCTTTTCACCACACTGCTTCGAAATCTGCTTTTATAAAACGAAACATGTTTTAGTCTTGAATATATAACAACAAAATAAATATATTAATACATTATGAGTTATTACTTACATAATAACTTAATCTAACACCAAAAGCACGATCCGTGTTAACAATTTCTAAATCTTTCAGATGCTTATGAGCACTGTGTCCATCGATCAATTCTTTAACAGATGCAATGACTTGCTTTTCCAGGTTGCTGATATCTATTATCTGAAAATTCGAACGTCAAGCATGTTTGAACGCGAGCATATAAACTTTGGGTAATTATGATTTTGACAAATATTCTTGATGGATTGGTGCTACTTACAAACTGTTTACTAGTTAAAATGATTTCCGTTTTTTAATTTTGAAAAACTAAAATATGAAAGTATAACCTCGCATTTTTTTTATTGCTTTACTTCTAAATACTGTGTTTATTTTCATTTTTTAATTTAATTAAAGAAAGGTGACAAAATTAACCCAACAAACTTGATACACACATTTTACTTTTGCTAATGCTTTGACAAACTAATATCAATCATAGAACACTGAAAGCAAAAGATTTAACCAACCTGCTTCACACTACCGCCACGAAAATTATAGTCTGGAAACAACTTTTGAGCATTGAACAGAATGTTACCAAATTCCAACATTGTCGCCTTTTTATTGATTGGACTTGGACTAGCGTACAGTAAATCTACACGTCCAATCGCTTCCTAAATTGCAGTACGCACATTAACTGCCAAGTACAAGTAAAAAACATTGATAATAAAACAAATGTGACCACAGAAAGTTCACTTTACTTGGAAGATGAATATTTTTCCTTTTTAATGCTGCAGTTCAAATGACATATTCATTTTGTAAACAGAAACAAAATACCTGTAATGTTCGTAAGCCCAATTTTGACAAGAAATACCGTACTTCCTCAGCAACCATAAACATGAAATTAACAACATGCTCTGGTTTTCCTCTGAATTTTGCTCGTAAAAGTGGGTCCTAAAAAAACGAAAAGCTTGTCAGCATTCTCAGATGATAAGTCAGTATGCATAATGCATAATTCTTTACATAAACCAACTTGAGTAGCTATTCCAACAGGACATGTATTCAGATGGCATTTTCTCATCATTGTACAGCCAAGAACGATCAGCGGCGCAGTTGACATGCCAAACTCATCTGCTCCAAGCAACGCTGCAATCATTACATCACGTCCTGAAAAATCATACTAAATATTTTGAAAAATTTTGTAAATTTAGATTAGGCAATGAAAATATGTTTTGTATCAGTCAATTCCTTTCAGTTTAATGTTTCTTATTATGGTAATCAAATTACATTCTTTAATATAATACTCAATTCAATCAGCTTTAAATGAACTAGGTAATATCATATCTAAAATCAACTTTTTTTCATACTCGAAATAATAATTACCATTTAGCAAAACGTCACATAAAGGCATAAATATTTAGTAACACTATTGTATGAATTTTACATGTAAGTAAATTTAGAAAATTTACCAGTTCTAATTTGCCCATCAGCTTGCAGAACAACACGGCTTCTCAAATTATTCATGCAAAGTACCTGATGAGTTTCTGCTATTCCAAGTTCCCAAGGTAGCCCAGCATGCTTTATTCCAGTCCAGCTTAACACACACATTTTACTGCTAATACAGAACATATTTTTTTAATATAATCAAAAAATGCAACTCAAAATATTTATCAAATTTCAATCAGATGATTTGATTTTGTTTTTAATAACACGTTACTGCACTGCTCAAAATTTTATAATGTTTTTCTATATCAATTTCAGAGATTACCTAGAAGCACCAGTGCCACCATCATGCCCTGACACAGTAATATGTTCGGCCTTGCCTTTAGCAACACCAGCAGCGATAATTCCTACGCCAGCCTCAGAAACTAATTTGACACTGATACGAGCTAATGGATTTGCACAACGCAAATCGTAGATGAGTTGTGCTAAATCTTCAATACTGTAAATGTCGTGATGCGGAGGAGGTGAAATAAGACCAACACCTGGAGTTGACCTTCGAGTTGCCGCTATTTCAACACTAACTTTATGTCCAGGTAATTCTCCTCCTTCGCCAGGTTTTGCTCCTTGGGCCATCTTTATCTGTAGTTCATCTGCATTTGCCAAGTATGCACTGTCCACGCCAAATCGAGCTGATGCTATCTATAACCAAAAAAATTTGATGATAGCAATAGTGCTAACAGTGCATTTTTTGTACGTGTGGCAGATATGACTAACAACACCTGTCTTTCTTGCTTTTGTAGTATATTTACAGTTTTCCATTTTACAAACGATCCACCTGCTTGATAGCTGATCGCAAATTATAATCTTTGGGTTGATCACTTCTGTATCGCTCTGGTTTTTCACCACCTTCACCAGTATTCGATTTACCTCCAATACGATTCATTGCAATTGCCAACGTAGTATGAGTTTCCCATGAGATGCTACCAAATGACATTGCTCCTAAAAAATAACATAGATTCAATGTCATGATATACTGTTTCAGTAAGATCTATTTCTATTCTTTAAATATAACTACTTAATTTAAAAAAAAAAGATGTCTGTACTTGCAAAATAAAATGAGTTTCAGTCAAAATGAATGAGACTTCTCGCTTAGTAATTTGATTAATGAGTAGACTTTACACAAATATAACTTTCAATAATATTCATAAAGTAGTCATAAATATTTTTGAGTTGCAAGATATTTCTGAGTACAAATAAAATGAAATATCAAATTATTTATCACCAGTCACAAATCTCTTGACGATTTCCGAAGCAGGTTCCACCTCTGATAACGGTATTTGGAATTTCTTGCTTGTTTTGATTTCCAACTGACCACGTAGCGTACACATACGTTGAGCAAGATTAGATGCTACCGAATATTCATGAAATGTCTTTCGATCATTCAACTTCGTGGCTGCCTCAAGTGATTACTATTAATTTAATTGTATCATAGAAAAGAATTATTAATAATATTAAATGCTAGCAACAATTTCACAAATTCTGCAATAACCTATTCGAAAACACTACCTATTTTGAAACTATAAATCTTTTTTCGGCGCATTTTTTCTATCAGTAAAAGAAGACATTATTTAAGATTTCAATTCGATTGAAAAAATTACTTGTAATTTTGCTATATTTGCGGGTTCATTAATATGACGCTCTCCACCATCTCTCCAGTGAAATATTCCAGGGCTTATCAATGTTTTACTGTCTCCTAACAATGGTAGATTTGTGACAGAGAAATAATTATCAATCTATGAAGTGCAAATATTCGCTTAAAAAAAATGAACCTTTTGTTAAGTCAAAAAGAAATTTCAGTTTAATTATACTGTATTTAATAGTTCATTTTCAGAACAGGAAATCTTAAAGCTGTAAGCTAGTAAACTAGAGTTTTTTCATCAATGATCTGAAAAGCAAAGTAAACCATTTATATATACCGTAATTATAATCTTTATCCGAAGCTGCAGGATAGGCATTTCGGTGTACACGTAATGCTTCTGCTGCAAGAATTTCGAATGTAGCACCTCCTAATCGAGATACAGTATTGGTAAAGCAACGATTCACAACTTCCTCAGCCAATCCAACAGCCTCAAAGATTTGAGCACCCTAAAAATAAGTAGAAATTTTCTCAGAACGATATTTCAAGAATAAATGAAATGAATTCTGAAACTGCATGCTAATTTCTAACACGTTACCTTATAACTGTGTAAAGTGCTTATTCCCATCTTTGCCATTACTTTAAAAATGCCTCTTTCAATTCCAGCCTTGTATCCTTGGAAAACCTGCCATAAAACTTCTATTATTAAAAATAAAAAATTATTATTAAAAAAAAAAAAGGATTTGTGACATTTGCACTGAACATTGTTTGAACTCTTCGTGCCAGAGAAAAAAAAATTTTCAACAAAGAAATAAGAAAGAGTACTGTATGAATGAACGTATCTGTAAGTCAACCTGCTCATCATTTATATCTGCATCAAACAAGCCCATGTTACGGAGACGATGACACGACTCGTATACCAAATAAGGACAAATTGCATCTGCACCATAACCAAGTAAAACACAAAAATCATGAACCACTTTGACTTGACCTGATTCCACTATTAATGCTACCTTGAAAATTTCTCGAGTCGTTTTAAACGTCCATTAATTTTTGATCATTTAATGAACAAGTATGAACATATAAAAATGTCATAAAGAAGTTACTTAAAAAATTTTTAATGACTTTAAAACGCTTAACATCCTTCAAAGTAAGTATGAACAGCTTAACTAGTGCTGAAGGAAATGTTACAAACCTTCATGCGCAACTGCTGCTTTAGTAAGCACTGATGAACAGCTCCAAGAGCCAAAAGTGGACCGATAGCAACCAATTTCTGGCAAACTTTTCTGTCGGAAAGCACTATCAATTGATAACCATCAAGAGCAGCCGCGCAAGCCTCACTACAGATACGGTCTAGAGCTGGTAATAAACCCTGCAATTCATTCAGCTTATGATACCTTTGACTATACTTTAAAATGGTCCAAAAATTTCAAGCTGCACTTCATGTTATCATTTTATTATGCTATGACCTTAGTATATGTACCCTGCAACTTTATACTTGTGTATATGCTCAAAAAGCATCGACTAGTAAAACTGATGTATCCATTATAATCGGAAAGCGAACAAGAAGTAAATGTAATGTTTACAGATAAAATCAAGATTAAAAAAACTGAAATTGGTGATCACTGCCTGAGTCATTGTTTTATTTTTCAATATTTACAATCGTTTGATAAAATACTGTTGCTAATAATAAGCTGGCTTAAAATCAATGGAATCAAAACCTTAGAATCATGTTGTGTTGGATAAACAGCATCAATTACTATGGTTCTCCAGTTCTTGTAAGTTGTGCGCTTCAACACCTGAAAATTGAAGGAAATTTTATACCACAAGTTTATCATACTTATGTATCATATCACTAATTCCTACGTATATATCGCAAGTCGACTTATATGAGAAGAATCCCTCACTTCCAAATCCACGAGAGACAAAACCGGCTGTTCTAAAATCAATCTTCCTTCTAGTTCCTCCATTGGCTCTAGTAGATTTGATTCCGGTCCGATTGGGCACCGAAGAGACATTACAATTTGTTCTCGAAATGGATCAATTGGTGGATTGGTTACCTATTAAATATTTTTGTAGCGTAATCGAAAATGTCAACAGCAAAAAAACGAACATCAATCTCAGAGGAAAAAACATGAGTTTTTGGGCGTTTTTACCTCTGATAATCAAAAGATAAAGTCATGATTGGAAGTTTGCTCATTACTGCACATTTTCTAGAGATTATATACCTCTTAAACTACTATCAATCTAAACTTAACTCGCAAGTCAATTTATTTTAGATTGATAATAATTTAACTGTTTGCTTAAATTATTTCCTCGTTCTGTAAATAGTTAGGTTTCAACAAATTAATGGAAATCAAATAATACTCATTCACTCAGTTAAGATGTAAACAATGGTAATACCAAGAAAAACAAATGAAAATACCAAACTTAGTAACAGACATAATGTGAGCCAAAAGTCGTAATTTTTCATACCTGGGCAAAAAGCTGTTGAAAATAGGATGAAATTTGTGGACTGTAATCAGAGAGACATGCTAAAGCAGCGTCATTTCCCATAGAACCCAATGCTTCTTTTCTTAATACGGGCATTAAAATTTAATTACAAGCAATTTTTTGAGCAGATTTTTACAAGGAATATCAATGATTGTGATATTTTTTTGAATAATTACAGTTTTCGTACTAAATTTCAACGCACTTATAGAAAGTCTTTAGAAATATCAGATATTTTTAGTGAAATTTAAATTATCTTTTTGTTTGTTCCAAATATATGTGAATTCAAAAAAATACTACATATTTAATATTCCAACTTATTAGTTCACATGTAAAAACTTATGTCGCTCATCCTTTACTTATGGATTGAATTTTTTAGTATATTTTTTTCATTACTAGTATCAAATTAAAATATGCTCTAAAAATTTTTAAATTAGCTGTCAAATATAAGATTATTCTTTTGTTCTATTTTTTTACAGAAAAACCATAGAGTAAAAGGTACTTCTCGATAATCATGGGCGCAATAAGCATTGCAAATGTGTCGGGAGAAAAGGAAAATGCCATGAGACGTCGATCTTCATCCAGATGGAAATCTCTATGACATTTCTTCAATATCCGTTTGCCTGTGTTACTAGTACAACTTTCTTCATTCCACTGAAGTTCCAATTCCCGCTTAATCAAATATTCATTTGTGATGGCACCGTGAGATAGCTAAAAGCATAATTTGTTAGCTACCGAACTTTTAAATGCTCATGGCTGAAAATATTTCCCATCGTAACGACGAATCTTATTAAAATTTACAAATTCACACTCTATACTTTTTGTATTTCAATATTTAACTGAAAGTAATTTATACTTCGAGATTGTCAATGAAGTTTGTTCCATAACTTATGAATCATTTTTATTTGTTAATGTGTTCATTTACCAATGAAAAATTAATTGCTTTCTGTTTCGAAAAATGAAGACATTTTAAAGCTTTCTGAATAAAAATTAAATTTAATCAGAGTACAATCTACTGAATTTCTGATTTACCACATCATTTCTGCGAAGCTGATCAAGATATATCCGTGCTGAATTGAGTTTTTTATGCGGTCGTAAAAGAGCTATTCGCAACTTTAAATCACCATCTTCTTCAATTTTCTTCTCTACCGTATCCACTAACAATATGCGACCAGGACGTAATCTATCCTAAAACACAATTAATGATCAGCAATTACGCAGATGTACACTATACATCAATTGATTTTAAGTTGTGTGAGTGAGTAACAGTAAATCAATAATAATAACATGCTCGTACTGAAGAAATCCTTGATAATTTATCTAAGAACAATTCTCAAGCATTCTTTGACATCTATCAATTCAATCATTACAGAAAAAATTGACCAGCAAGTTATTCAAGTCTTGCGACTTTATCAATGCTTGATGTGATCACAAATTTTGAATAGTCTGTCACAGTCACAAATAATATAAAGAATATGGGATAAAAGAAAACTGTAGAAGTAAAAAACTATGTAGGAAAGAGTTAAAAGATCCATTTATTTTTCCTATTCGCTTTTTGAATGATCTTGACATTGCTGAAATATGCAAAAAATCAGAATGGTCATTTTTATATTTTCCGATAACTAAAAAAAAATCACTGTGAATCTGTATAATGCTAAATTTTTTCATTTTGCTTCAGAAACCAAAACTGTATTGCTTCGCATTTAATTCGACTTCACATTTAAACAATCTAAGTATAAAATTATGCTTGTCGCTTGATGGGATACATGTTAGTCCTACCTTTTGATAAAACAGTATTTTTACAATTCAGTGATATTATGTTATGTAATGACTGCAGAGTCAAGCAACTGTATATATATGTATAGTCTTGGTTTTCACTCATATTAAATGAAGAAAACAAGTATGTCAGATGCTACATCATTTAAATTTCAAATAACACATCTTAAAAAAAATGTTACTGAGTTACGTTCCAAATCTGTCAATTTTAATTCTTTATAGTCAGTCAAACATTATATACCATCAATTTTATGTCATTCCAAAATTGCAATCTAAAACTTTGACCTTTATTAGTGATTTATTTTACTGAAATTATCACTCACAAAACTGTTACTCCTTACAACAGCATGCTACTTTTGACCTATAATTTTTTTTTGTTTTGTATTTATCACTATTTTCTGCTTTTGAGGTAAACTGTCAAAAAATGGGCGAAAAATGAGAACTTGTGTTGTACAAACTAGGATAACTTTAAAAGAAGACATTCCAAATTCAGTTTGTGTACGATATACTTTCCAGAACTATTAACAGTGATTGGTAAATTTGCATTACTATTGAGTTAATTTCACGCGATATTTACAGTTATTAGCTATATGTACCAAATACGTTCAAGAAATGTGATGCATTATATTTAAAAGGCTATTTTGTCATGTAAAACTTCGTAAACATGTTTATCATTTATCACATTTACGTAATTACAAAAATGTTCTAGAAAACTTATCTAAATTAAAGACAGAAGTAATTTGACTGACCATTTTTTTCGTGCATTTCACAGTTATTATCTCCACTTTATGGAGTAAATAAAAAAAATAAATTTGTTTCTCGAAATGTTGAATATTCAAAAATATTTGTTATCACAATTTACTTAAGTGATACTTCGAAATACAAGAAACAAAAAATTAGTGTTAAAATTTCATATTACATGAAATGAGTTCGAATTTTTCTGGATCTTGTCTTAAAACAAATGATAATTATTCCTTTTTAACGGGATAGGTAATAACTTTTGAAGCAGATAAACTTTAGTTTTGCTTCTTATTTTTTCAAGAAGTCTTTTTTCATACTGTGGATCTCTTTTTTATTTTCATGATTTAGAAATATAATTACCCAACTCGCAAACACTAATTAGTTCTAGCAAAACTGAGAATTTATTTTCTGTACTTGATCTTTCGAATAGTTTCTTGAAGTTAATTTATTAAATTAAAAAGTAAAATCAAAATATAGATGTACCTGTTAATAATGTGATACAAATGCAATATTTTAATTCCTTTCAAACCACAAAAAAGTTCTAAAATTGCCGATAAATAACACTTTAAAAAACATGTCAATTTTTAAATCCATCTAATATTTGCAAAAAAAAAAAGATCAAAAATCCTGACCATATAATTTTCAATATGTTATTGATATATATATCATTCAATGCTTCAATGTGAATATTTTTACGCTGATGGCGGTACTCAACTAATAAGCTTACTGAAACTAAAATTTCATGTATAACATTTTCAACGTCTGTTTTTGGAGTCATACTAAAGTGAGAACCACAAAAAACATGCTCAAGAAAAATATTACAATAATCTTTATGATTATTGTCGTCAATCAGTTACCAGACAGACCAATATCTAAATTAATTTTCAAAAGTGACAGCCGAAATAATTTTAGCTCATACACGTACAATGATTGGAAAAAAAATTAGTAAAAATTTGAATCTTTCATAAATTTTCCTATTAAAAGGTGCAAAACGTTAAATGTTTATTGGTACAAGACGTTAAATGTTTATTGGTGCAGAACGTTAAATTTCTTTAAAAGCCATTGATGTTTGCTTTCTACCGTTGGAAAGGCTATCTAATTCAAAATGAAACTCTCTCAGGTATTCACTTCACCAATGGTTTCCTTTTTTCCCAGGTTCATGTCCCAAAGGAAAAAATTTCTTTATGTATAAATAAACAAATTTTATAGTTTTATTTTCCAAAAAAATCAGTCACACAAAAAATTGAATCAGATATAATCAACTTGAACTATGCATTTATAAAAGAATTCACTAACTTCTTGTGATTACATAATTTAAATATATTTGCAGAAAACATTTTTTCATAAAATGCATGATTGATAAAATTTAAATTCATGGATAATCTACAAAGTTTAAAAAGTTTTAAATAAAGATCTTTAATTATTAGCAAATTGTTACGCAATTTTTATCCTCTTTAAAAATTTTTTATATATTTGCTGATATCATATATTGTAATAGATGTCCACCATTGTGTAAATATTTTTAGATAATATTCTACCTAGCTAAAAGTTTTTATCAAATTTGTTACTTAACTAAAAAGCTGCTATTTATAAATAATAAGAAAAGTGCCTTATGCCAAACAAATTTTATGGAATTTTCATCGCAACAGAATTGAAAATAAAGAATGTACACCTTTAAAGTGAAAATGGAAGCAATTACTTGATTAGAGTCATGTTAAACCAAACATAAAGTTATTCATTGATTGTTAAGGTCCATTATACAAGGTTAAGATCTTATAAAAATGCACCTTATTCTTTTATTTCTCAAATGCTAGTACGAATAATGAATTGCCGAGCAAATACATTCTTACTCAAATATTTTTTTTTGCATAAACTGCTCATTGAGATATTTTTTAGAACAAAACAATTTCAAACTTACTTTGCAGAAAAGTAAGTATCAATGCAAAACTAACTACTAATTAAATCAGAATATGAAGCGATAATGCATTTTTTTTTTTGAAAGAGAATAATTAGTAACAGTAAACTAACTTTTGAAACTGAGCAGTTGACAAAAGCTTACTATCTGACAATAAACGGTGATATCTTACTTTAACGTGGATTAAACGCAAAATGAATGATCAATTATAACACTACAAAACAATTATGTTCAGATTTTTAATAATAACAAATGTATTCAAGTTCATTTTCTTGTCTTGCATATTAGCAGCTACTTCACATTAATTCTCTACTTTGCCCTAATTCTTAGAACTTAAAAAATTTGTTTTTTTTTCTTAATTTCATAAAATTAAATCTTGAACAGAATGAATGTTTTAGCATTTATCAACAACATCATCTATGACTGTCCTGTTAGCACTTCAGGAAGCATAAAAATTGCCTTACAAGTCATCTATCAATTTTTATGATTACTCTAATACATTGATTCTGAAATCTCTGAAAGACTTTGATCCTAATTTACTCTGTTACCTGTTACTTAATATAGAAATGATTAATGCCACAATACAAATAAATACGGCATTGTTACTCATTTGATATATCCCACTTAATCTCATAAAATCATATTAATTGTCGGGTTCAAAAATATAAAAGTAACAAATTTTGTTAGTCTCTTGAATTTCTTACCAAAGAATTTAAGAACAAACATTACTCATTACGTGTTGTGAATTGTCATTTATGTATTTGAAAGATAGTAAATATGAAAAATTATCAAACGATCCTAAAAAATAATTCATTATTTAATTAATTACTGATGCGCTTATACTTTGAATGATGTACTGTAATGAAGGCCAATTTGATTGTTTACCAAATTAAAATTTCGAAAGTGAAAAAGGTGAAAATGTATACAGAAACATCATTTTTGTTTATTTTGTATTGATAAGTGAACTCGACTGTTCATTAGTTCATTATCATAATTTTTCAAATTATTTTCAAGTAGAATATATGAGCAAAGGTGTTTTAGGCATATTTATGCATGTTTAAGTTTGAAAAAAATTCAATACGTACATATGAGTGGTGAAACGAAGAAATTAATTTGTCAGGTATGATGTAAGCCCGCCTTAAAATAAACCTATTTTTTGGGACCAACCACGCCTTGGAGTTCAAATAGACTAGTCTGGCTAATCGCAATCTGAAACCCATCTTGGATTGTCATTACGATCGTTTCATCTTGTTTCATTCTCCAAATGAATCCAAAATTCACCTTCGTCATCTTTGTATTCGTTACTATTAGTACATGCCATAAACAAGTTTATGCCTTCATTTCTGGTAAAAACTTTTTGTTTTTTTCACTTAGAAATTACTAAAATTATTATATATAAATTTTTTCAAACTGTTACACGCAAAATCTTCAAAAATTGCTTTGCGAAAAAAATGAAAAAAACTTTGTGTGCTATAAAGAAGAATAGAAAATGGCCACGAAATTCGAGATTATCTCATTTTTAGATCACTTTATGGGGAGAAATCGTGAAGAATAGAAATTTTCACTGTACTGAAAATAAATAACTTTTTGCACATAACAAGAATTTGGATAGCTTAAAGAAAACTAAAAATAATTATTACGATATGAGAACTAAAAAATAATAAAAGCATTATATACTAGTTCAGGAATGAGAATGAAAACAGTGCAACAGTTATATTCTTAATTTTGATTTTACTAATCTAACACGTTATTAATATCAAAGTTATAATACTGTGCATATATTTCATAGTATTATTTTTTGCATTGCTAACAGCAATTGCAGATAAGGATGGATGTGGAGAAACTTGTTTCAATGGTAAGCAATCCGGTAATGGGAACAAAGCAGACCGATTTATTCGATCACCTTTGGGTACTATGAGATTTGGTAAAAGAGGTAACGCACCATTTAATCCAATGCGCTTTGGTAAAAGCTACGATTCAGATGATTTATCTACAATCTTATCAATGACGTACGAGAATGACGGAAATAATAATGCTGGTGTTAATAATGACTATCCTGTGTTTGAGGGTAATCCATTCTACTTAAATTCTTATCAAAAACGTCGTAATCCGCTTGGTACAATGAGATTTGGAAAATAATTCTCTAATAACAATGAATAATTAATATATATTTTTTTGTGTGCAACTTAAAGTTATCAATCAATATATAATGTAGAATATAAATTGATCTTCAACTGAAGTAAACTGTTAAGGCTGCTTAATTCTTTCTCGTGTTGCAAGCAAATAAAACTGATAATAATCATGCAATATATTGACTTTCTGTCATAGATTAATTAGTTACTGTGACTAATTTATGCATAGAATAAGAAAGTAACATTTTTTTAATAATTACAAAATGAGTTCCTCTAAAAAACATGAAAAATTATGAATCTGTATTGCAGATTACAACCCAATTTACATATTACACTCAAAATAATATGTGTGCAGTATAAATATGAAATAAAAAAGTAGTCGTCATGGATCTTTGATGCTTAAATTCTAATGAATAATAGATTCAATACATCAGTTTCAACGAAGAAAATGTATTATTTATACTACACACTTAATACTTTTTAAATTATCAAAAATTATTTTCGACTTGCTAAAAATAAATCACAAAAATTTTGGATCATACTTTTCTTCGATTGCCTAAGTAGATAGCATTTTGTCTGATATGGTAAAAAAGCATGAAATTATTTTTCAACATGTTAGAAACGATGCCATAATTCCACTTTCAACTTCATTTAATTCCACTTAATTAATGCATACTTCTTTCGTGTCATTTTGAGAGTTGGATGCAAATGAAAATTTTAAAACTAGTAACTTTAAATGTTGATCTTCTCAGAATTTTCTAATATTTTCCAAAAACTAATAGCTTATAGTGGTGATTGTCCCCTACACACAATAACACTTGACTTCTTTTTTATCAACTTAATTAAAAATTGTCTGCGCAAAATCATGAACTTGTCATTTCATGCTTAAAATGATGCTTGCATAACTGCAAAATCTACGCAATATACTTCTGATCAAATATGAAATATTTTGCCAATGATAAGACTGTTCCATATTTTTTCTCAATCATTCAAACGATTATTTTCCCAATTACCTCTTTACTTTGCCAATTTCTTTACATACGTGTTAAAACAAATCTAAATTCAGAGCAATTGCAATAGTTAATATCAGTAGATTAAAAGCAATCATCCCCGCACGATCGAAATTTCAACTGATTGTGCGTGATAAGAAAAAAGGAAGCTTGTTTTTGCTTCACTGTACCTCATAATCATTTCATTGTATCGAAAAATATTTCACTAAAACTAAAAACTCACATAATTTTATGAGCAAATACAGATCTAACAAATCTATAAATTGACTTATTCAGTTAGTTGTTGGAGATACTACTCTCACAAACTAGGGAAAAAAAGTGTGAAAAATTTATGAGCTTATGAAAACTTGAGTTTTGAAAAGTAGTATATTAATTAAATGCTATTATTCTTATAAAATCAATGGTTACTCAAAATTTTCTGTGATTGTTTTGGCTAAATTCATCAAATTTTATTACAGTTTCAATTAATTTTTGACTCAAATACTTCTTTGATCGACGTTTACTTCACTTTTATCACGAATAACGAAATGATACAAATCAAACGATAAGTGTTATCAAAAAATTCCAGTAATTGACTGAAGTTAGCAGTCATCAATTCAACTAACAAAAAGATAACTATTAGAAGAAACATTTGGAAAAAATAAGTGAAAAATATTTACAAAACATGCGTGAAAATTTGGTGAAATCTAACCTTTCGTATAACATTTTCCTCCTCTAAATCAGCAATACCCACTTCACTAGCTAGAAACAAGTGCTCATCTTTGGTAATGTAAAAACGAGCAGGTCTTAAGCCATTTCGATCAAGAATTGCTCCAATGAAACGTCCATCAGAAAATGTCATTAACGCTGTAAAATTTAGCTTCATCTTGACAAATATATCAAACACTTTGACATGACGTGAAATTTTGGAAAAAGGAATGTGAAAAATAACTGAAAGTTATTAATAAAATTTTTCATGAAATTAAATAAATATACCTGGTCCATCCCATGGTTCCATGAGCATTGCTGCCCATCTATAAAACGCTCGTTTTTCTGGAGCCATCTCCTGAACAATAACAATTAATTCTAATAACATCTTAATGAATTAATTTACTTTATAATTTTAATTTGCAGGATATTTTGGTAGTTGAGTGTAAGTTGCTAGAAAAGATACGTAAATGAATTTATAATTGCTTGTAATAATTCTATCTACACAAACATTTTCGAATATAATTACTAATTAATTCGGATTTAAATTCAGATGAAATTACAGAAATCTAAAAGAAAAAGCTGACAATGACAAGAACTGATGCCCGTGTATACATTTCTTAAAGATCAACATTTATCTTTGCAGATTAAACATGCAGGCTTTTAATCGAAGATAACGTTTTTTAAAGTAAATTACAGTACTAGAATAAAGGCATTAAATGTATAGCACAAAGAAACAATAATCACAAAAAGCTTTTATGTCACGTTATCCTTTTTAAAATTTTTTGTTTATAGTTTTAGAACCTGAAATTTCGTATTAAAATTGTGCATTTGTAATCAGTTTTACAGATTAAGACATGATAATTAATATGCTTCAGCATTCTCGTCTGAATCCAACAAAATAACTTGAACAGATGGAATCAGTGTCGCTGGCAAAATCAGCTGTTGTAAAATGATAAAATTTACAACATCAATCTGATTAGATTTACTTATTAATTATTTTCACCACACAAAAACTTTGCAACCAGCATATGTGATTAACAAAAGCTTGACTGCCACAAAATCTGATATTAAATAAGTAAAGATTCAATTTTTGAATGTTCATAAAATTTTTACCTCATCATTTTCCCATGCTTCTGGAACCATCGTCATAGCAGCTTCAGCTATTGAGCGATTACCAGCGTGCACCAAAAATTCCAATACATTATCAAAACTACCCGAATCCGACATATTACGTTCTACTACAGGATAACTAAAGTATTAAATTTAGCGTTTATGAAATGAAGTTTCATGAATCCACTATTTTTCTCAGAATTGTAATGAAACTGATTTTTGTAAAATGATTTTAACGCATATAAATTATACTTTCAATTTTGTCTCTTCAAACGATTTTGCATAATATATAAGTGGTTAATAAATTTCTACAAAATTAAGAAATTACAGTTTCTGAAGATTATCACCATAAACATGACTTTTCATCACACCTTCCCGAGCATGCATGAAATTAATGTTTCCACGCAAAGTATTGATTTCCCCGTTGTGAGCAATCATCCTGTACATTTAAAATTTAGAACAATTTTGCCAAAACTTTTTAACCAAACTATTTGATGGAGTTTTGAAAACAATTTGATCTAAAAAAGTGCAACAATACAAATGACAGTCAGTATGCCTTAATTATATTTCCTATAGAAACAAAAACGATAAATCTGATATAAAAAGTGAGACTATTCTTAAATTCATTTAAAGCAATAAGATGACAAATAATTCATATATTTATGAACTGTTTTTCTTAGTTCAAAATTATTAATGAATAACCGGTGAGGTTGAGCTCCACACCATGACGGAAAGGTATTGGTTGAGAAACGGCTATGAACCATAGCCATATGAGAAACATATTCAGGGTTTGTCAAGTCATCATAGTATTGGTAAAGTTGATTTGGTGTAAACTGTCCCTAAAATTGTAATAAAAGAGGTAATATGGTGTAAATTCATTTTAACTACGATTTCAAGATACCTTATGATAATGCATCATCAAGGCTCTCTTAAATCATGCTTCAAATTTACGTGAAAAGCTTTCGATACGATAAATATGAAATTCGGAAAATAGTATTTAAGAAGAATTTACCGTAATATATTAAAAGTTTTTGGCTGACCTTATAAACGATAGTTGATGTACTCAGGGAAACAACATAGCATTCAATTTTCTGTTTAAACAACTGTACGGCAGCTTGTTTCCGCAAGATATAAATATTTCGTTTAAAAAGTTCTACATCAGTAGAAGCATATGATGCAGTAATAAATACCTAAAATAAACTTGCATTGAAAATCTGTAATGTGTGAATGGAATTCTAGGACGGATGAAAGAAAAATATCGATGTGAGGATGAACTTCAACAATTAGTTTCTAATAACAGTATTCATTCATCTGTGAATAATCTGAAAAAGGAACTCTAACCAACCTGTCGTATACATGGTTCTGTTTTGCGCGCTTCAGTTCCAATTTTGTCTGGATTAGTCTGTAATTTACGCCAAGTAATTACTTTCAAACTGCAACCTTTAGCCAGATCAGTGAAAGCTTCCAGAGCTTGTTCGTAGGAATCGTTTTTCAGAAACAACAAACCTGTTGCGTATTCACCAACCGGAGGCAATTCGATGCCTTCCTCATTGCTAGAATGCTTCTTTTTTTTAGAAATATTATGCAAAAAATATATTATGCAATAACCACAAAACTTCAACTTCCAGCTTACAATTTAGAAGAATTTCTAAATCATGAGCTTGAAGTTTTTTTTCGTGTCCAGTAAACGAAAATTAATTAGCAAGAATGTATGCAAGAAGATCAAAGCTGAAAAGTAAAAATTGAGCAAAATACAAAATCAAATCACTTTCTGAGATCTTTCCGGTACAGCGCATCTGGTATAGCAGTCATTACACCTGCACCGTCACCAGAATCACAATCACAAGCACAGGCCCCACGGTGAGCCAAACGTTCCAGCATTGTTCGCCCATCGCACAAAATCTAAAACATACCAAATTTTGTTCATAAACCTTAATAACCTTATTTTTCTTTAAAGAATTATTGAAGTGCTAAACAATTTCACAAAATGTGAAAATTAGAAAAATTTATTTGGATATAATGCCTCAATTTGCTGTTTTGCACAACGGCTAAAAAAGCTGTTCAGCAAAAAATGATTTCTTGAAAGAATAAAAAATTGGCATTTTTTTTTGTGAAAGAAAAGTGTTTATTAATTTTTTCAAAAAAATATTACTTTATGGGATGCAACACCGCGAACTGATGTTACAAAACCAACTCCGCACGAATCCTTTTCCAAATGAGGGATATACAAGCTATTATTTTTAACTTGATTCAGCTGTTCCGAGCTTAATAGTACCATGGTTTTATTTTCCGTAACAAAGCAGCTTATTATAGTAAGAGCAATTAATTAAATCTCAAGCAAAGAGTACTTTGGAATATCACAATATTCCTAAAATATCAAATATAGCTTTTACATTGTTGCCAAATTAAAATTAATTCTATGGTAAATGAAAAAAGTTTGTACACATACTGCCTTCATCTGTTTTTTTCCATATTTTTTGAAACTTTATTGCTTTAGGACAGCAATCCAATATGAACTTTATTTAATCACACAATTAACATTCGTTCATGTAGAAAATAATTTTTGATTCTGACTTTCTTCATATGAATAACATTACATTCAATTTCTTCGCAACTTCTTGATATGAAACCAAGATTGCACTGAGACTAAATTTGATCTTAAATCTTAGGACATAAAGATGATGGAACACAGTTATTAAGTAATAGTTATGTACTAAAATATCTGGATAACATTCTTCTGGCTGCGGTCTATTTATTCAGCAATGTTTACAAATTTTTTGTTTATAAAATAAATATTATACTTAATTTATGGTATCTCAAAAATGATCTTTGAAACAAGAATAAAAAAAATATAAATCGTGTGATGCAATAAAAATACATTTTTGGCATCCGAGGAATACTGAAAAGTATTCCAAATTTTATAGACCATTGAAGTATTTAGTAAGTGCATCTAGCATAATTTTTTATCTCAGTATTCAATACTTTTGTCAATCTTTTGAACTTTTGAATTTTGCCATATGTTAAGACGTGTTTAAAAAAATGATGGATTTGCTTTTCAAGATTAGTAAAAATGCAAATTAATGAAATCAGAATTGCGAAAATCTTTGCAAAAATTTGAATTTACGATCTTAATTTGTAAAACTTTTTTATCATAAATGTTAAACGATGAACATTATTGGGGTAAATGCCTGATATTATCAAAGTAATTGTTATATGCGAAAAATGATTTTTAGAACTGAATAAATTCATGACTTATGTTTAATAAAGCTATAAATGTTTGGTAGTTAACGGTGAAAATTTAAAAGCATGGTAAATTCGGTGTTTTCTGAAAAAAAAAGAAAAAAAACAATGCCTATAAATTTTCGGTGCATTTTTAAATCTTGAATAAACTTTTAAATTAAATTTTTAAAATTTTACACCATCATCATTTTTTCTCACAAAATGTGTTCAGAATATGAAAGATTAGAACTAATAAACTAAACTCTCTTACACGACAAAGCAACCCATCAAGAATGACAGCTGTAATGAATTTTCATAGACAACGTGATCTTAAATTAAAACGAGAATATGCATTATTTAATTGCTAAAAGTTTTACAGGACAATAAAAGTGACCATGACAGCTTCAGATCCGTCTGTTTCTTCATTTGCTGCTTTTAGTGCGTTATTTTGGAGTGAGCATTTATGAATTTTTATTTATTCTGGTCATTTCGATAAAAAACATGGAAGAATTTTTTTCGAAGTGAAAAAAGCAAATATTGTTGACGAAAACTGATTTGTTGAGTAGTGTTTTTGCTTTTATATGCAAACTTGTTTAAACAGTGCTTATGAAGTATGTAAGCAAGCCATATAGCTATGATTAGTACATAGCTTTTGTCCTAAAATCGTAGCTTTTATAAGTAACCCCACTAAAATGCTGCATAAAAAATTTTTCTAGCTATTGAAAAATTAAAAATCGAGATAATAGTTCAAGGTAAAATTACGATAAATCAAGATAATAATTAAATTAATTTGCTGCAACTAGATATAAAAAGCGGATATAATCTCAAACATTTTTTTGTACTTTTCTGTTAAATAGTGAATTTTTGAATATAATTTCAGTATGTTGAAGAAGTGAATAAAAATAAAAATAAAAATTTAGATCAAAAATTACATTTTCAAATAAAATGTATTGCCAAAATTTTTTGAGTAAAGAAAATAATAAATGTGTAGCTGAAAATTTGTTGATGGTTTTCATGAGTAAATAACGCCTTTTTATGAAATAAATGTACGTACTGACTAATAATGTTTGCTTTTTTCAAATTTTTTTCATTCCAATAAATATTTTTCTTTACTTCAGTGTTTTGTCATTTTCAAAAAAAAAGAAAAAATCACAGACATACAAACTATATTGTGATTTTTTTACAACGAAGGAAAAGTCAGCATTAATCCAGCTAATCTTCTCCACTGTTTCACCAAACTATATCATTTGCATTATATACGAAAAGTTATCACTCAACTATGAGCTAAAAATTGTAAATTTAGAGTAAACTAAAACTATGATTAATGTTTGGGATTAAACTTAATCACCAAAAATTTACGGAACTGAGCAGTATAATCAATAAAAATATGAAATATAAAAGTTTTGAAGCTTCATGGCGTAATAAGATGCGGACAGAAAGGTTTTAGAGTAAACATAAAAATGATAATAAAATGGAAGCTATTTTCTGCTTCAAATAAAAAGAAATTATAAACATAATTTGCTATAAAAAATTTATTACTTAATTAAAAGTTATTGAAAATATTTCTGTAAACTTTAACTCTTCAAAAGATTTTATTAATAATATTCTAACGTGGATAGGTATATATATTACAGAAGTATACAACTATTGTATAAATTAAAAATTTCGAAAATGTTCATAATTTGGATGGCTAACAATTTCTACATAAATTCTAGGCGTAATCATATTCAGTTCATAGATAATTATTTTTCTAGATTGATAACAATAATAGTCTTATAATTACTGAGTCTAACAATTTAGCCAAACGAGAACTCTCATTGAGATTAAAATTTTGACATAGGCTGGGACTTGCAAAATAAGGAAGCAATGTAATTTATAAAGATAGCATGCAAGTCTAAATACGATTCTTCTGAGTTTTCTTGAGTGGTAAGCAATGAACATTCCTCAGAGCACTCAAAAGTCTTTGAGAAATATATTGCAGCTCTCATGACAACAAAAATCTGCCACTGCTTTTTGTGTCTAACACTAAACTTAGTTACATGGCTAATAAGCAACACAGCTTCACTTTTAAAAAAGGAAAATAAAGCATTAATTTAGAAATCAGCCTGACCCTTGTGTTTCATAAAGAATGTTTATTATAAGTTAAACAAATAACATTGAAGGTAGCAATGTTTTCAACAAAGCTGAAATATTAGTTGTATGACAACACTGTTTGTTTATAGTTAATTTCATGTATGCCTGAGAAATGACAACTTATGATTGATTCTTAAATAAATGACTGAATCTGATGACAACTTTAAATGTCTAAAAATAAATCTATAAAAAGGAGTAAAATAGTAAAAAAAACAATAGAAATATAAAGGTATATGATTTATTTGAGAATAATACCTCAAAATATTATCCTCATTTTTTGATGAAAAGAATAAGTGGTCAAACTCAAATACAGAATGAAATTTGATGAGAAATTAGCGTTCAAATAGTTAATTGGCGTAGGACTTGATATGTTGGCTACGTAACTAATAACTATGCAATTTAACTTTGCGAATTTCTGCTGTAATTGAAAAAAAAAGTAGAAATATTTGAGCTTGATAAAAAAGCAATTTCTGCAGTGTTCCATATAACTGGCGCACATTACCCATACTATTACCATCATAACATTACTTTGCTTAAACGTATGAAATTGATGACAAGAGTGCAAAAAAGACAAAATTCAACTTAGATGCAACGAAAATGTAGTTAGAAAACAACGGAAGTCTATGATATAAAAAAATATTAAGTGATCATAAATGGAATTCTCGTTCTACAACAAGCACAGACAAATTTATAGGTAGGAACATAGGTAGATAAGGTAGATAAGTAGATAGATAGATGGATAGATTTATAGGAAGATAGGTAGATAGATGGATAAGTAGTTGAGTGGATAGACATGTGAGTAAGTAGATAAGTGGATAGCTAGGTGGGTGGATGGATAAGTAGATAGGTTGAAAGGTAAATGAGTAGATATATAAACAGGTGGATGAGTAGATTAGCTGGATAGGTAGATAAGAGGATAGGTAAATATATATATATATATA